GTGTGTGTGTGTGTGTGTGTGTATGTATTAATCGGGTGTGTGTGTGTGTATGTATTAATCGGGTGTGTGTGTGTGTTCAGGGCGGAGAAGGAGTGGGGTGATGGGATCAGAGGTCTGTCTCTCAGCGCGGCTCGGTTCGCTCTGCTCCGGCTGGAGGAAGGTCCACCGCACACCAAGAACTGGAGGTACAAACACACACTCATCTGTGACCGTCACAGATATAATACACCTGCTGAGCCTGATACACACACACACTAAAGCACTGTGTTACCCGATACTATACATGTATGCTGTATTTTTAATGCTTGTTTCAGGACTAAGTGTGTAAATAATAATTCCATGTAATTACAACAATTGTTTGTGTGCATTATTTAGAGGATGAACAAAAAATATAAATTATGGAATTTAATGATTGTGATTTTCACATAATTTTTTACTCAATTTACAAAAAATGTAAAAAAATAAATAAATAATTTGAAATCAGTGTTGAAATATACAATCGAGGGCCAATATGTTATAATTTATTCAATTTAATGCTTTTCACACAGTTTTACTAAATGTCTTATGCTTTTTTCAGTACTGAGTTGTTAATAATTCCATAGAGCAATTATTTGTGCTTCTTAGGTATTTTTACCTAACCTTAGGCCATTTGTAAAATATATATTGGAGGGCCAATGTATTATAAATTATGCAATTTAATGTTTATTTTACACAATATTTACTAATATTGACAACTTTTTTTATGCTTATTTCAGTAAGGAATAGCACAACTACTTGTTTGTGTTAAATATTACTTGTGTTTATTAGTGGTTGACAGATATTTTATCCTACATTCATTTACATATATATATATATATATATACATTTAATGTCCAATCCTGAAATATGCAGTGGAGGGCTGGTATGTTTTAAATAGTACAATTTGTGCATGTTTGTTTTCACATGAGAATGTACAAAAATTCTACAATTTTTAAAGCTTTTTTTTTTTCATCTCGGTATCGTCCGATACTCAGAATTTTTGGTATCGGGATCTCTCTCTCTCTCTCTCTCTCTCACACACACTCTCTTACACACACACACACTCTCTCTCTCTCTCACACACACACACACTTTATGCATGTTTGTTTTCACACGAGAATGTACACTTTTTTTTTTACAATTTTTATAGCTTTTTTTTTTTTTCAGTACCGAAAGTGATATAGCAATTAATACTAATTCAAAACAGTAAAAAAAAAAAAATGAAATAAATATAAAATGTTATTATAATTCAGGCCTCAGCTGCTGGTGTTACTGAAGCTGGATGAAGACGCTCATGTCAAATCTCCGCGTCTGCTGACGTTCGCCTCTCAGCTCAAAGCGGGGAAGGGTTTGACCATCGTGGGAACCGTCATCCCGGGAAACTTCTTGCAGACCTACGGCGAGGCTCTGGCGGCTGAGCAGGTCTGTATCGCTCATTTAGTACAGATCATGAGACACGTCTCTCTGTGTGTCTTCATCACCAAACGTCTCTCTCTCTGTGTGTGTGTGTCAGACGCTCAAGCATCTGATGGAGAAGGAGCGCGTGAAGGGCTTCGTCCAGTGCATCGTGACGCAGAAGCCGCGCGAGGGCATCAGTCACATGATCCAGTCCAGCGGTTTGGGCGGCATGCGGCACAACACTGTGGTCATGGGCTGGCCGGACGCCTGGAGACAGAGCGAAGACCCGCAGAGCTGGAAGACCTTCATCAGTGAGTCACACAGAAACTAATGGCTTTCCGTTCTTTATTCAGACACACGTCGTTCCACAAGAAAACAGCTTACAACTGGATGGTGATTTATATGACTCCCAAATTAACATAAAAACACCATAAAGTAATTCAAGTGACTAAACATGGACAGATAATACGTTTACTTGATTGATTATTTTATGGATGTTCACAATTTTCTCATGTAGACATAGTAAAATTGTGACCATTGAAACCAATGCAGAATCACTTAATATGCATGAATATAATGACTTGCACATTGTTATTTAAATATTTATCATGCAAATTATGATTTTATTTTTGTAGTCAAGTTATATCACTGCAGAGAGTGCGCTTTCAGTCTGACTTCTCTTAAACGTGCGTGAATTACGTATAAATATATTGTCTTGCATGAATGTATTTTACAACAATACAAAGAGCAGTGCGTGACATTTTCACCAGATTTAGTCCTACACTTATTCACTAAATGTTTAGATTTTATTAAATTATTGTGCACTCATGACTTTTCTAGAGCAACTTTTGCTGCTGAATTATCCACTAACCTAGTTTATAATAGTGTTTTTGTCACAGATTATGATATATTTTATTAATTTGTTATTTTTCTGTATAATGAAGTTCTCTGTATTTAGTAGATTGTGTTTAACACACAAAATAGTGATGATCAGGTCAACACTAATTTAACTTTAATTTAAATTATTTAGAAATGTTATTTTACTTAAAAAATAACAATAAAATATATATATAAATTTTTTTTTTTTTAATTTCTGTATTCATTTCTGTTTCAGTTTTAGTTATTTTAGTACTTCAAGTTAAACTAAACAATAATTGGAAATATTTTATTTCATGGAATGATAACGGTTTTGGCTTTAATGAAGGATAATAACCCGGATCACTCAGACTCAAAAGAGTGATTGATGTGTAAATGAACGATGTTCATTAATGTGACTCTATCAGACTGAGCGCTGACGGCGGTCTCTCTGTTGATTCAGACACGGTCCGCGTCACCACCACGGCTCATCTGGCTCTGCTGGTGCCCAAGAACATCTCTCTGTTCCCCAGCAACAGCGAGCCGTGTGCAGACGGCTTCATCGACGTGTGGTGGATCGTGCACGACGGCGGGATGCTGATGCTGCTGCCCTTCCTGCTGCGCCAGCACAAGGTGTGTGTGAGGCGCGTCTCTCCGCCCGCTGTGCTAGCGCTAACGCTAACGCTGTGTGCTGTCTCAGGTGTGGCGGAAGTGCTCCATGCGGATCTTCACCGTGGCTCAGATGGAAGACAACTCCATCCAGATGAAGAAGGATCTGGCCACGTTCCTCTATCACCTGCGCATCGATGCCTACGTGGAGGTCGTGGAGATGGTAAATAACCTTCTGTTATTTCACACGAGCGCCAAAGACACTCTCCAATCCTGTTATGATCCTTCATCTGATCCTGATCATCCACATGACTGCTATTATCATCCTGCTAACGCTCACAGATTAGCCTCCTCACGGGTTCATCCTGTCCTCCAGCTATAAATACCCCAAAGAACCTCAGTCTCCAAATACATTTACATTTAATTACATTTGAGGTCATGAAAATTTTTTTTGTTATATATGTAACATACATTTTTTTTATTTCAGTTAGTTGCCAAGGCAACATTTCTCATTTTAAATTAACTTGATGTACTAAAATAACTAAAACTGAAATAAAAATTAATAAAAGCTATGTAGACATTTATTTAAAATTTTAAAAAAAAGTATAATAAAAGTGGCAAAAACATGCAACAAAGTTGCTAAAACTTTCACTAAAATTAACATGAAAAGTGAAAATATAAATAAAAAAACTAAAAATAAAGAAATTATCTTAAATTAAATACTTGGATGACAAGCTTAAACTAAAAACAAAAAAAATTTGAAATCTTACCTTGGCAATGAACTGAAATAAGTTAAAGTTAAATGAATAAAGTTACTTAAACTGAAGAAAATAAATAAATTAAAGCTAAATAGAAATATTAAAAATAAATAATGTAAACAAAGGCTAATAAAAATGGCAAAAGTACATCATAAAATTAAATTAAAATGAAAACTGACATAAAAACAAAATCAACTAAAACTGATAAAAACACAAAATCACTAAAACTTTAGCTAAAATTAAAATGAAAACAGAAAATATAAAAATAAAAACTGATTCAGAATATTAATAAAAACTAAAACAACACTTGTTCTCGTTAACTTAAGATATTGTGTATTGTTTTCAGTAATTTAAATTAAAATTAAATAAAAAATGTATTGTAATTTAAATTAGATAAAACAAATTAACTAAAAAAAACTTAACTGGACATTAGAAATGTTGCCTTGGCAACTAACTGAAATAAGTTTAAGTTAAAGGACTAACATTACTAAAATTGAAAAAAAAAAAAAAAATTTTAAGCTAAATAGAACAAATATAAACAAAAACGAATAAAAATGACAACGGCACGTAATAAAATGACTCAAATCTAAATGAAAACGGAAAATCTAAAAGTTAAAGGTAATTTAAAATATTAATAAATACTATAATACCGGAAGACCCAGTTTTGACATTTTGATTAAAAAAGAAAAGAAAAATTATAAAATAAAATTAAGCATATGCACGGATTAATTGTTCACAATAGGGCTTTTAGCAATTAAAATTTTATTTCTGTTCTATTTTTATTTCCTGCTGACTTTAAATATAATTTAAGGGGTCTTAAATTTGGGGCAGAAAAACAGAAATTGTGACACAAAAGCTGCTTTTCCACCGAAATGACCTGGAACAATATGTCCCAGGAAAGACCTGCTGCTGTCTGCGTTTCCATCAAGAAGAGTAGGCAAATAGTCTGGTGACGTAGGTCTGCGCGCGTTTCAATACCAAGGACGCAAAGTTCGGACTTGCATCCTCGGTAGTTCGGACTTCGCGAGTTCGACTCAGGAGCGTGAACTCCCGCGGACGGGACGACGCAAGTCCGGTAATTCTGCAAACAGCAGCGTACTTGATAACATCAGTAAGACGATAAGACGAAATATATCAAACACCACTGTCTCTTTTCGTTTTCATTTAAACATATTAATAGCTGCAGAAATGTAGTTCAGGGCAAGGTTATTATAGTTTTGAATTTTTAAATTAGTTTTATTTTAATATCGTTTTCAAACTTGCTATACAATTCAGTCTAGTTTTTATTAGTTTCATTAATATTGTTGTTAGTTTTAGTTTAGTTTTTATTTTGTGAACACATTTTTATTTAGTTTTTATATAGTTTAGTTTCAGTTTTAATTAAAGTTTAGCAGATCACTTCCAGAGTTCAGGCCAAAGAAAGGCGTAGAATGATTACGAAAACGATTATTTATTTTTGATAATTATTATTTTATTTCAGTTAGTTTTTCAATAACTGTTGTTAGTTTCGTTTTATTTTTTCAATTATTTTGTTATTTTTATTTTATTTCAGTTTTTTGAAATTGTTTTTTCATCAATCATTTTCGTCGTAGTTTTAGTTTCCGTTTACGAAAATAACCTTGGTTCAGGGAACGTACATACATTACAATGAAACGAAATATTATATCAAACAGTATTGCCTCTTTTCATTTTCATTTTAACATATTAATAGATTAATAGAGTAAAGACCAAAGATTACCTGTTAAGATTTACCCCAAACAAATTATATCTTATGTTTATCCACTAAAGAGACATCAGAGCCAGCGGCAAGTGTCAGAAGGACTATCCGAGTCGAGACTGCTCTCATTGGGATACATGAGCACTGAGCGCCGGCTGAGCGCGTGGAGCTGATCGTCTCCGAAATCAGCGAAGCACATTTTCAAATAGGCGTTGTTTTTATACATAAACCGCAGATTTGAGTTTTAAACAACTACATTCTCACCTGAAATACTTTTAAAACTACATTTCATGATACAATAACAGTAATATTTAAAAACAAAAAATAATTATGTGAATGGTGGTTGAAATACAATGCTGCGTGAACTCAACCAATCAGCCCTAGTTCCTGGGGAAAGTTCCTGCGGTGGAAACACACCGAGTACCGGCCCAAAGTCCCTAGTTCCTGGGGAAAGTTCCTGCGGTGGAAACACACCGAGTACCGGCCCAAAGTCCCTAGTTCCTGGGGAAAGTTCCTGCGATGGAAACGGGGCTAAACTTTATATTTGCTTTTGTAGTGAAAACATTTCAAAATAAGAGTCCCGGTGCATTTTGGGCTTGTTTATAATTAAAAGTCAAGCATTGAGCATATAGTGTCTTTTCTGGATATTATTGGTGCGTAGATTGGGCAGTGATTTCGATCGTTAGTGTTGATGTGTGTGTGTGTGTGTGTGTGTGTGTGTGTGTGTGTGTGTGTGTTTCAGCATGACAGTGACATCAGCGCGTACACGTACGAGCGCACCCTGATGATGGAGCAGAGGTCACAGATGCTGCGGCAGATGCGCCTCTCGAAGTCCGACCGCGAGAAAGAGGTGAGTGTGCAGAGAAAGAGAGCGCTTCTACACGACACACACTCGCTCACCGCTCATTTCTTCTGTCTCTAGCGAGTGCGCTGGAGTTTTGATGACGTAAGTGCACACTTCACTCAAACCTAGTGCACTTCAGACGTAGACAGCGCTTCTGTAGCATTTGAGCGTCCGTCTCTGGCTTTCTGTGCTTTAGAGAGACACTTTAGAGAGTTTGTGTTTGTGTTTAGTGAGTATCCGTGTCTGCATGTGTGTGTTACTGTCTGTACAAATCCTCAGGAACTACAAACAAGACGAAAAACTTCGTGGCAGGGTTATTGTAGCTAACCGAAGGCAAAACTATTAAAAAAAAGTTTTGATAATTGAAATAAAATCAATGAAACTTTAACTGAAATAAAACATTTAAAAAAACATATTTCATTTCTGCTAGATGCCAAAGCAACATTTCTCATTTTCTTTTAATTTTCGTTAAAGTATTAAAATGACTAAAACTATCAAGTTATATAAAAACTATAAAATAAAACTGAAATCAAATTCGTAAAACGTAACAAAACGAATAGAAATTACTAAAACTGTAACTCAAATTAAAATGAAAACAAAATATTATAATAAAAATTTAATATATTTATATATTAATTAATTACATGTGAAACTGTACTTAAATTAGACATAAAAGTTGAAGTACTAAAATTACTAAAACTGAAATAAAAAAAACTACAACTAAATAGATATTAAAAAGAAATATTATAAACAAAGACAAATGATAAAAGCACATAACAAAATTACTAAAATGAAAATATAAGAGTTATATAATAAGAGTTAATTTAAAATAATAATATATACTATAATACCGGAATATCCAGCTATGACATTTTAATTAAACAATCAACCTTTTGATTTAAAATAAAAAATAATAATAAATTTTATTTGATGGCGCCTTTCACCCAAGGACACCTTACAAAACAGATTAAAACAAGTCCAAACAAGTTATCAATAATACAATCAACTAATAACAAGGTGTTAAACTAATAGAAACAATAATAAAAAATAAAATAAAATTATACAGAGTATGCTAATCTGAACAGGTATGTTTTTAATTGTGATTTGAATCAGCACAAAGAGTCCAACTGACGAATGTGTGGAGTAAGAGAGTTCCAGAGACGCGGGGCGGAGCAGCTGAAGGATCTAGCTCCTATAGTACTAAGTCTAAATGTAGGTACTGTTAACATTGCAGTTTTTGAGGAACGAAGTGTTCGGGGAGGAGTATAGGGCCGCAGCAAGTCAGAGAGATATGTGGGGGCTAGGTTATGAAGCGCTTTGAAAGTTAACAAAATAGTTTTATAACTGATCTGGTGGGAAACAGGTAGCCAGTGCAGCTGGATGAGGAGAGGTGTAATGTGGTCCGTTGAGCTGGTGCGGGTAATGATCCTAGCTGCAGAGTTCTGGATTGATTGGAGACAATGCAGAAATATTCGATTGCAATAGTCTATACGGGAAGTGACCAGAGCATGGACAAGAACCTGTGTATTGTACTGGGAGAGGGATGGACGAAGTCTGGAGATGTTGCGGAGGTATCGAAGAACCATCAACTGGTATGGTGACAGGATGAACTTTGGAGAGTGTGGCCCGTAGATACGACCTGAACCAGGCTAGAGCATTATTAATGATCCCAATTTCAGCCAAACCTTCCAACAGGATTGAGTGGGAAATAGTGTCAAAAGCTGCGGATCAGAATGGATAAAAGGCCATTGTCAGCTGCAAGTAGAAGATCATTTGTAATTTTTACCAGAGTTGTTTCAGTGCTATGATTCTGTTGTTATGAAGGTGAACTTGAAGTTGAGTTGCTATAGTCCGTACTAAGAGTTTAGTAATGAATGGGAGGTTGGAAATGGGACGGTAATTATTTGGGTCATTAGCAGCCAACCCAGGTTTCTTAAAGGGGTCATATGATGCTGCTAAAACGAACAGTATTTTGTGTATTTGGTGTTTAGGTAGGTGTGGCTGACTCTTAACTTTTATAAAGAATATCTCTTTGGATTTGAGACTTTAGTCTTTGCAACTTTACAGATCTTCTTTATGCACCAAGAGCTTGTAACACTCCAAAGAGAAAGGAAAAAATGAAATCGCATCATATGACCCCTTTAAGAACTGGGGTAACAGAAGCCGTTTTGAGAGATGTAGGAACGGTGGCAGTAAGTATGGAAGAGTTGATTATAGACATTATAAAAGGTGCAATAGAGGGCAGACAGGTTTTAACCAGAACAGTAGGGATGGGATCAAGCGTACAGGAGGTGTTCTTGGACGTAGAAGTTAATCTCATGATGTCTTCGACTAATGGAGGCTGAAAAGTCGATAAGGTGGAGAATGATGGGTTCAGTGTGGCAGTCCAGGGTATACAGTTAGATGTAGAAACTGAAGAATTCAGCTGTTGATGAATATTGTTAATTTTGGTACTAAAAAATTCCAAAAATGTGTTACACTTTATTTAAAAAAATAAATAAAAACTACAACTAAATGTTAAATTCTACAATAAAAAATGAATTAAATATATTACAAATGACAAAATTATATTTTAAACTGAAAATATAAAAATAAAAAATTATTTAAAAAAATTAAATAAAAAATACTTTAATACCAGAAAACATTTGAATGAAAACTAATGAAATAAAGATGAGTATTCTCAGTGAGATCTCATTGGTCTCTGATGTAAGCAGCTGTTGTGTTTGTAGCTCTGAGTGTGTTTAGTCTGTCTGTTCGGCACGTCTGCAGGCGCAGCTGGTCAAAGACAGGAACTCAATGCTGCGTCTGACCAGCATCGGCTCGGACGAGGACGACGACACGGACGCTCCCGGCGCAGGAGACCGCAGCGCAGAGTACCGGCGAGTCCACATGACCTGGACCAAAGACAAGGCCCTGCAGCTGCGGAGCAACACACAAACACACACAGCCTCGTGCTGCAGCACTCCGGAGGGCTTCAGAGACATGCTCAACATCCGGCCGTGAGTCTCCTGCTCTCTCTGCTCACTGTGTGGCTCCACGAGTCCGCTTGCTTCAGTCTTTAAACCTTTTATGCATCACTCCTAAACTGCAGGAAGGAGCTCTGGTTACAAAAATGGCATGCAATAAACTATTAAAGTATTAAAACGTGCAATAAACTATTTCTAGTGCTTTAAAATGCCAAAAGATTAGAATAAAACATGTTAAAAAGCAGTACGTCAATAAATATATTTATCATTTTAATCGTGAATAAAATAATTAAATTATAAATTATATTTTTATTTTAAAATCATTTTTATATTATGTATAATATTAATTATAATTATAATAAAAAGTATATTAGTAGAATTAATAGTGTTCATAAAATGTCTATAGTATTATTGACAATTGCAGAAAGAAATGTTCTTTATTATTATATAATTATAATAATAGCATAATAGTAAATATTTATATTTAATAAACAAATAAATATACCTGTTTACAATTTTAATTGTAATATTTTATTTTCACATATTTATAATTATTATATAATTATTATATTATAATTTTTATAACAAATATTATATTTTATTACATAATGACTGTAAATAATAATATAATTTATAAGCCTGTTATTATAATTAACATTATTTATGATAATATAAATGTCTAAGATAAGATTATTTACAGTTGTAGTAATAAATATTTTAATTCTTATAATATAGTACATAAGATTTTTATATTTAATGATGAAAATGGATATTTATTGAATTTATATTTATAAAACTATTTAATATTAGCATGCTTATGCTTCTTATTGTTATAAATATAATTATATTTTACTATATTATAATTATAAATAATATTACAATATAATATAGTGTTTAAACATGCATTTATAATGTATTAAAATATAATCTGTTTATTGATGAGTTGTTGATGTGGCTGGAGGTCTGTGCTTTATGTTCCTTGCGTCTGACGTGTGTCTGTTACAGAGATCAGTCCAACGTGCGGCGGATGCACACCGCTGTTAAACTCAACGAGGTGATCGTCAACAAATCCCATGATGCCCGGCTGGTGCTGCTCAACATGCCCGGGCCGCCCAAGAACACGGAAGGAGACGAGAACTGTATCCTGGGACGTCTGAGCAGCGCTTGCTCAATATAGGGCTGAATGCATCACACTGTATTGCCTGTTCAAAATGAAGCGCCATTGTTTTATGATGCATTGTTACGATGTATGCATGTTTTAAAATGCTTTTTTTTCTCATGTCATGTGATGTGTTGTAGGTCCAGCTTGTATTTAATGTAACTGTTTTAGTGCGTATCGATGTAGTGTTGGGTTTCCTCCGTGTTTGTGAGTTTTCTGATCACTCCTTGACTGGGATCCTCACAGATATGGAGTTCCTGGAGGTGCTGACCGAGGGTCTGGAGCGCGTCCTGCTGGTGCGAGGAGGAGGAAGTGAGGTCATCACCATCTACTCCTGATAGCAGCGTCAGAGAGCGTTCGAAAGGGAAGCGCGGCCGGCTGAAGATGTTTAGTTTGTGTGTATGATCATCATCGCCCGCGTCTCGTCTGCTCTCTGAGCTTTGAGTTTAGTTTGCGCTTCGACCAACAGCAGCTCTGCCGATGTTTGTGCACGTGTGTGTGTGTGTGAGAGGTGTGTGTGTGTGTGTGTGTGTGTGCGTGTCTGTGTGTCTGTGTGTGAAGAAAGCGTCGAGAGTCGTTCTGTTGAAGCTTGAACAGCAAGTGAAAGAATATTTCAGCTAAAAATGAGCATCTTATCAGCAGTTCCTCACCCTCCTGTCGTTTCTACAGACGCCCGTTTCCTCCACAGGAAATAAGGTATATGCACTTTTTAATGTCATAATTTGAACTTTTTCCTCAATTCTGAGTTTATGTCTCACAATTCTGGCGCAGTTGCACAATTCTGAGAAGAAAAGTCAGAACTGGCAGATGTAAACTCAGAACAATGACGAAACAAGTCTGAATTGTGAGATAAAAGGCCAAAAATTGCGCGATGTAAACTCAGAATTGTAAGGAAAAAAAGTTCAGAATTCTGAGTTCATATCTCGCAATTCTTTCTTTTTTCAGAATTGTGTTTATAACTCAGAATTCCGTTGCAGAAAGGTCCAGATTGGGAGATAAAAGCTAAGAATTCTGAGATAAAAAGTCGTTTGCACCTTTTTAAAAATGTTTTATTTCGTGTTGGTAACAAAAAACCAGAACTGCAAGATGCAAAGTCATAAAAAAGAAAAAGAAAAAAGAAGCCACTTTCTCTGACAGAATTGCAATGTGAACTCAGAGACTTTTGGGCAATTCCAAGTTTACACCTTGCAGATCTTTTTTTCTCAGAATTGTAAGATTAAAAGTCTCAATTACCTTTATTTTATTATTTTGTTGGAAACAAGTTTCCACACATTCCATGATTGATCTGGTACTGTCCACTCCAAAGAGATAAAAATACTATATAGATCAGAGACAAATGGACTGTTTTCTGACGTCTTTCAGTGTGTTTTTGTCCGTTTTGGAGGCTGCCAGTATAAATGACTCATTTATTTCCCAGTGTGTGGAAACATGATCAGGTTTTGAGCTTGATGGAGGAACGGAAGCGGTATCAAGAGCGAGTAAATGCTGGTAAAGTGTGATTGTTGTGTGCTTGTGCTCCTGCTCGTTCCACATTCGCTCTGCATGGAGAATCTGAATGCCAATCAATGCTGTAAAAACAGCCCGACTTCATCGAAGCAATATATATATTCATCAGCATCAGGCCTTCATCGTCCTGTGAATCTGAATGTTTAAGTGAACACACATGTATAAGTTCAGCTCCGGCATCCAGTCCCTGAATCCACCTGTTTCTGCTGTATTTGTGAGAGCGAGCGAGAGAACACATGACTTTTATGGATTCGTTTTTTTTTACTTTTGATCATCAGTTGCTTATATCTTTATGTGCAGGGATTGTGAATTTGTTTTCTTGTCATTTTTGAAATCTCAAGTGTTATCTGCTATTTTTATCACCTGAAGTAATAAAATGACAGTAATACATCTCTTTTAAAACGGCAAACATTGTTTTTTTCTTGGGTTTCCTTTCAGGGAATTCATTATAATCCCCAAAAAATGTTCTTAAATCATATTAATTTTAATTAGTAAAATGCAATCACGTCAGAATGACCATTCATTTCTTCTGCTTATTAGAAATGGGGTCTTTCTAGCCCTCTAAAGTGTAATAATGTCTCGGATCTCGAAAACTGCAGTAAAATGGTTTCATATGAAGTGTGCATTTAGTATGAGACGTCCCCTATAAAACTGAGCATCGTGTTTTATACTTACTAGAAATTGCCCTCTGGAGTGAAAAAAAGCATATTATTTATCATAAACAAATGATTTTTTTTCTCAGTTGTGAAATTATTTTGTTATTGGCGTTCACTTTCAGAGCAGACATTAAACCTCATTATATAAAAATGCATTCAAGAGATACTGTCACTCTTGTACAGTAAAACAAATAGTGAAAAGCAATTCAGGTACTTTATTTTGTCTGTTTTCTGAGAATCTTGCTGTAACAAATCTACATGAAACAAGGATTTGAAAGGTGATATTTAAAGAAAAATAGCCTATAGTAGGCTAACACACAACCGTCAAAGACACCAATAAATAACACGGATATTAAAGCAGAAGCACAAAAAATATATATATATCGCCTCAGTTCAAGTGTGAACCGATCATCTCTTCCTCTTTACTACTAGTTATAGCATGAAATTAACATGAATGAACATTTGAGTTATGTTGACTCAACCGTGGAAAGACAACGAAACATTATAGTCCACTGACGTTAATCTAAAGCTGTGTCTGAGACCGCTCCCTATCCCCTATGTAGTGCACTCAATTGTCACACACTGTAGGGATTAGTGAACGAGTGAGCGATTTCAGACACAGCTTATCTCTCCTGTTTGGGTTGTTTGTCGGACACGGCGGATTGGGCATTATGATTGGTCAGATCGCCTGTCAATCAAACTCCCGGTGAAGGTTGAAATCCCGCCCCACATTCCAGAACCTGTTCCACTCGGATATACGTCACAGTAGGGAAGAAAAAAGACTATGGTGACTTCCGTTTCATGCTGACTTCAATGTCTCCTTAACCTTTTCACCTGATCCAGTTTCTGATAAACATTATCATTAATAGATGACTAATTTACACGCCATTAATAAATTACAGATGCAACACAGTGCAATACAATGTTTATATGCCTTACTATATCTCGAAATAGAATGTTATACATTTCTAACTTTAAAAGGATGCATCTTTTGTCCTTTGAGGAGATGGACAAGTCTTGCAGTAGTAGGTCAAAGTGACTAATAAAAGGATTCAGATGAATTTTAAAGGCAGTATAATTTTCACTGTAAACTCTTGACTTTTTCTTCTGCTTCTGTTTATAGTTTTGTGATCAAACGATATGTCTCTTATTTGGAGATTGACAGAATGAGTTATAAAAGAGCACACAGACGAGGACAAGCTGCACAGGCAGTCGTGTAGGACACTTCTGAACTCTGAATATAAGTTACCATGTTTTACAGTTTTCAGATGTAATGACTGTAAAAGCAGGTTCACTGTAAAATATTCTGCTAATGAATACTCGGCACCTTTAACCTCTGTTTGCATTTGACCATTTATTCATATAACACATTTATGTAATAAAATTGCAGTGCTATTAGAAGAAGACTTTCCATTTGTTATATATTCAAAGTATTCATGGTTTATTAAAAGTATCAAACCTTGTAGTAATATGTTTTAATGGTTGATGGTTGTGTTTACAATTTTACAGCGACATGTTTTATTTATTTTTTTACATCTTGTCCTATTGTACACAGTGTATTAAAAGCAACACATAAACAATTCAAACACAATTATACTGGTTATTATGTAAAAGTCAAATGTATGTTATCTGTCACATGACATGCAGTCTACTAACTCATATAATAGAAACGCATTAATATGCTTACATTTAATGTTAGCTTACCTTCTTTAGTCGTTTTACAAAGATTCTAGCCTGGCAACAAAACTGTACAAAATATTAAAAAGCCAAGGAAAAGTTGAAAAAGCCCTTTTTTACTTAATATGGTGTAATTAAATGCATTTGTGTTTGTGCATTTTAAAAGATGTTATATTTGGAATACATACATTTTGTAAAAATATTGTACATGTATAAAAAATAACTAATAATTCATTTAATTCTGGAGAGCAAAGCAATGAAAATGTATATTTGGATTTCTGTATGTCACAAATATCAGTTATCTTCAGCAAAAATCCTGCTAAATTATATACGGTTACGTTTTCAACTTTTGCTGTTAGCATGATATACTGTAGACCAGCGGGATTGTTCAGATCATTCAGTATAATGAGATGTTGGTGGAGTCGATCTGCTCTCTGTCAGGGTCAACTAACAGCTTGTGTCTCAGTTGTTCATTGTTTGGTCAGGTTTTATCCTAAAATTCTGACAGTTTGTGTTTTGTTGTCTCAAGTCCATCAATGATATCCTGTAACTGATTCATTAATTTCCTGATATCAACAATGAATTTCCCAGCTTTTGACGTGATCTTACTTTCATCTACTTCTTCAGCTATGGGTTTTTCTGCTAGTTTGTCCATGTCAGCGACCGCGCTGCTATTTTCACTAACTGAGATCATGTCAAGCACAAGGCTGAACCCACCATAAATCTCTGCTATTGATGCAAGCAAACGCATACTTTCATTCATCTGCACTGTCAGTCCAGCAAGGTTTTCTGGCTGTATGTTACTGCTGTCAAAATATTTACTCAAGTCATTTGCACCTTGCTCTAGTTTTTTAAAGTCTCTCAATATTTTCTCAGTACGCTCATGAATGTCTTTCATCTTTTCAGCCATAGGCTTGATTTTAAACCGAAATTCCTTCAGTTTATCTTCAATGCCTTTTCTTAATGCTTTCATCTGCTTCTTTTTGTTAGAGCTGCAGATCTTACTTGTAATTCCAGCGCCTGTGAGAGTCGCTGCTCCTGCAGCACCAACACCAACACCAGCAGCAACAGCAGAAGCTCCCAGAGTAAATGGAGCTAAAGCTATTCCTACTCCTAACCCTATTCCTGTTAGCAGAGAAGCCCCTCCAATGATCCCCGCCACTCCTGCAGCTCTAGATCCTTCAGTAGAGCCTCTGAAATCGGTTTCAAATGTTTTGATGATATTTTGTAGTTTCTCTATGCACTGCTGGAGTTGGGGTTGATCTCTCTCATAGAGTTTCATAAATTCATCTCCGAGTCGAAAAACATCAGCTCTAGAGAAAAGACAAATGACGAGTTTATTCAGACTGATTTGCAATACAATTTAGTTGATAAGCAGATGAGTTTCAGTTAACACTTAAAGACACTTCTCGCTATACTCTTGATTCTTGCTTTTACATGTGCATGCACAAGTTCAGGAGATATATATTTTTTATATTGCCTCGTAATATAATCACATTGTGGTTAAAGACCCAAATATTCTGATTCTTTGAATTAATTACATCATTCTTACATTGCAGGAGGTATCTCCATGCTGTTGCGTCTGCGGGGAAGACTGGATGATGCCATTGGTGCTGCGACTGAGAAAACACAAGTAAACACATGATCTTTCTTCATATTAGAGTATAACCCCATATATCATTTTTTACAGTCACCCTTTAGGGGTAAATAAGGCACAATGGTTCTTTTGAAATGGTCCCAGAGAAAGCTCTTGCACTTTTTTTCTGACTCATCGAATCCGTTCCAAAGAAATAGTCATGTAACTTTTTATTCTGGTTTTTTTATTGTCAGATCAATACAGTAGCCTTAATCACACACACCATAAACGCAGTGACAGTGTGTGTGATTTCTGCAAACACTGTGTTAATATGTAATATATTAGTAATGTGTAAAACACTTATATGTAATGCGTAAAAAAGAAGAAAAAGACTCTCTAACAACTGCATTCTCTAATCTTTTTCTATACTATCTACTTGTTTACTTTTTATTTATTATAAAAACCCTTGCTACATGTACTGCTTTAGACGGACGAGACTTGTCACAGCACTTATACCGTTGCTTGTATTGCAGGATACGAATAAGTCAAGTCGATGTCTTTATTTATTAATTAATTTATTTGTTTTAATGAGGGCCTATCTCACGTGTATCAGGCGTTTACAGGCCTACATTCATCCTCTTTCCGCGTGCTCTGCGCTGTTAGTTTCGCTTTCACAGAAGAGGGCTATGATTAGAGATAGAAATAGAGAGAATACGATATTCTGCGTCGACGTTTCTTATGTAAAGCATGACACCCAGTCAGTTAGTCTATTGCAAACACGTTATTTGTTTAGGATATATCGTTTACTGCTTAAACTCGTGGCATCCAGAATCATGCGCATTATCTTGATGTGAGATTATGGCATTACCACACTTGAGAAAAGTAAAAAACTGTCAACTTTGAGTTTTATGTACTTTAGTTATTCCAAACGAAGACTAATTACAAAGTTATTTTCCATTTTCGCCCCAGTGTGTGTAGTTTCGGTTTCGTTTTAGGTGTTTTCACACCGCTGCATCGCCTCTAGTAAATTACCCGCATGAATTACTAATGCAATTTGAGCAACGAACCATGCATATTAACACATGATTACACACTAGCCCAACCTTATCATGCAGTGCTGATCGAGCTCGTGTGAGAGTTCTGCGATGAAGCCGGAGAAGCGCGCGTAGACCGGAAGCAGGCAGGTGTACGCACCTGTTGTTCCTCTTCTTCTTCTTTTGTGTTTAATGGCGGTTGGCAAACCAGCTTAAGGTGCATTTCCGCCACCTGCTGGGATGGAGTGTGAGGCCTCGATGAACGAACATACTATATACTACTTAAAAAAAACACCTAAATTCTTCTAATCAACTCTCAGATATTTTAGAAGAAAATCATAAACCCTTAGATGTTTCTGTGCATTCTGAAATATATTCATAACTGAAATGTCATTGATTTCCATATCTCTTAGTTTTCCAACAAGCTGCTTTCTTTGTCTATTATATGCCTCACAATGTAAGAGCACATGTTCAACTGTTTCTGTTATTCCACAGTAACTGCAGCTATCTGACTCACTTTTTCCTATTATATGCAATGAATAATTAAGGTTAGAGTGTCCTGGATCCTGGTTATAACAGTATCTTCTCTTCTGTTTCCATATACCTTTCTTTCAATCCCCACTTTCTGTTGAATACTAAATAAGTGTCTCCCTTCTGACTCTTTATTCCATACGCACCTGTTGTTCCTGATACACGGCGAAACTAACGAAATACCGACGCTCGAAACTTCATTAATAACCGTCCCGTCCACAGACATGTACTAACTGAGAGTTTTATTTAATTTTTTTGTGAATTTAAATATAAACATTTCTCTAAGATGTCAGATGATCTGCACTGCGGATTAAAACATCTGTAGATATACACTGTTGGTCTACATACATAGCCTACAGGAGACGACTGAATTAGTGCTTTTGAAAAAAATAACACATTAACATTACACAAAAATGAATAATACACATATTTGGATCAAATGGACAATGCAATGATACTAGAGGTCTGCTACCCGACCCGAGCCCGAAGGAAGGGGCTTCAAGAATGAAACAAACTGAGATGTTCAGAAACTAGTGCACGTACCCCTCTGTCTCAAACTGCTCACCACCGCTCTCTGATCGCAGGAATGCCACGCTAACAGAAACTGAAATGTTGCAGGATTAGTATTCAGACCTTACTGTTAGAACTCAGTGACCAGCAATAAAGCACAACAACTTTATAGCAACCTTTTAATGAAGAAACTAGAAAAGCTCACCTGAGGGAAATTCAATGGAGCATTCTGCACAGAGTCGACGTTATATGCCGTAGGAACGTAGCAATCGTCTCTTAGCTGTGGACCTAAAGATGTCTCTGTGCTGGTACAGGCTTTGATTACTATACAGGGATACTAGAAGGAGCATCTCTCTTCAGAGTGGCTTCTGTACCTATAGGGATGCATATAAAAGTGTTTTGACAATGCATTTCACTTTTGCATTATCTTTGGCTTATGATATTGGGGTAAAATCACCCTCCGTAAATCCAGCATAAAAGAACAATCCCTCCAATAATTTTAATAATTACTAAATCTTATGAGCGACACCATGTAAAACCTTACACATAACAGATAATGGTCTCCTGCAGGGAACACAAGGGCATCCTTCATGAAAGCATTATCCTAAAAAACACGTAAATCTCACCAATAAAGAATACCTTTTATTTTACTTCTGACTTGTCAAATAGTATGATTTCTGCATTCAGTACTCGCTGGAGAGTAGGCTAGAGGATTGTGGCGATAACATGCATGTTGGCAGTCTACATGTCTTTGCCCTGTGAGAGGAAAAGGAAAGATTAAGCAGATCAAAGATTAAACTATCACTTGCCAGTCAAATATGAATGAAGAAACTCTCTAAAAAAGTCTCAAATAAACTACAGCTGATATAAAATACTGTGAAAAAGATTTATACGTGTGCTCAAACCTCTTCATAGACGAGTTTCAACAGGTTGGCCTCGATATATAAGCCTTAAAACAACAAAACAGAACCAAGGGTTTATAGCATGTAGATATTGATAATAAATAAAGTCGATTTAACCATATTACTTGGCTGGACCAAAGGCTATACACATCCATCATAAAGTAAAAAAGCACCGAATTTAACTTTTCAAAGCTGTTTTACGTGGTTGAGTAACACATGGGAAAAATGGGAAATATTTGATCTACAGTAACACAAGAGTGACTATATTAGCCTACTTTAGATAGGGCTTGTTTGAAAATGTTATAAAGACAGCATTTGCTCAAACATTATAAAGGTCTGTGTTTTCATGTGCTCCTCTGTATCCTCTTGTGCTACCTGTTTATGTGTCACGATTCATTGGTTTAGTCCAGTCATGTGGTTTCTAGTTCTGTTTTGTCATTGGTTGGTTTATGTCATGTGACCCTCGTTATTTGGTATATGTAACGGAGGCCAGCGAGTAGGTGCTGTGCAGGTAAACCTCACTCCCCCGATCTCAAGAGATGCACTAACAACCTTCCTTGTTAGTGCGTCCGCCTCCCACGCCGGAGACCAGGGTTCGAGACCCACTCGGAGCGAGAACGAGGTGTGGCGGAGTGGACCCGGGAGAGAGGGGTTACATTGGTGCCGTGACCCGGATGGGAGTGAGGTTTTGACAACGATGTACACTAGATGGCCTCGGTGTACAAGCTGTTGTTGGCTGCATCTTAAGCTGTTGTTGAAAGAAAAAAGAACTTCCTTGTTTATAACTCTGTTTCTCTCTCTTTCAATATAAAAGTCTTTACTGCTGACTTTAAACCGTCTCTTGTCGCCATCTAATGGAGGAATAATGTCACTAATCACCATCACTGACACGCCGTTTCACAATACTACTCTTAAAACTACATTTCATGATACAAAAACAGTATTTATAAAATTATAGTGGATTTGGGCGTCCGCCATGACACACTGCTGTATATAATAACTATTTTAAAATATGTAAATATAACCATTTTAATTTTTTATACTTTTTATATATAAAAACAATTATATATATATATATATATAATAAATTTAATAATTTATTTATTATTATCCATTAAAAGTTGATTTTTGTCAACCTATGAAATCAAATTTCTGTTTACTTTTTAAAACCGTTTCTGATCTTATTGTGCATGATTCATATGTGTGAGAAATGTGTTAAAATACTTCAAAAAAAAAAAAAAAAACATTCACAAAGCTACAATAAATCATTTTGGTCCTTTTATTATTATGAAAAAACATGACAAAAGTCCAGTTGAGAACAATATTAAACAAAAGACAACACCAAAAATAATCTGTCAGCCGTTTCATGTGTACAAAATACACAAAGTAATAATATAAAGTAAAGATTTGGAAATACTCATTCAAGGCTTTATTTAAAGAAATACTTTTTTTTTTTCTGGTGTTTTGCCGGAAGCTGTGGTTGCCGTGGTGATCGTGTGAGGGGCGGGGCCACGCCGCTGCGTCACATCCGCTCATCTCCAACCCGGAAGACCGGGAGCCATGATGATGCGCGATCCGTTCGCGTTTTTTCCGTGAGAACCGCTTTGATGGGACACACACACACATACACACAGAGAGAGAGAGAGGGAGAGAGAAAGCGTGTGTTTTCAGGGCGAGTATGGAGGTAAGAAGACCGAGCTGACGGCAGAAGTGCTGAACGCCCAAAACAAACACCCGAAACTAAACTCAGCCCCGCTGCAGAATTACAGCTGAACACATTACTACAGCTGCTGACAAACACGCGTCTGTGTGCTGTGAGGCTGAATATATCATCTCATTTAAATCAGCCAGTTCAGCGTGTTGTAAAAATAAACTGACGTATTAATTATAAAGTCCTGATATGGAGCACGTAATCCGCAGGCCACGGGGCGTACCATTAGCGCCTGCGGGGGGGTAGTGTTCATTAAACGACACTGTTGATAACTAACAATGGTGTTTTCGGTTTGGTCTGTACGGTTTAGTAGTATAATTACGATGTTGTGTGTAAAAGTGGAGGTCGGTCGTTTTGTTGATGTTGTTGATCGGACGCGACCCCCCCCGCGCGCCGGTTTGGTCGAGTCTCGAATCCGTGGTTCCGGATCGATTGCGGCTCCTGCGGAGCTCTGCGAGAAAATCGTGAGCGCGTCGTGGATCGCGTTTATGTCGCTCCGTAACACCAGCCGGTTCGTTTAATCGGTGAGCGGTATTGTCGTGTCCGCTGGTCTGTAACGGACCGCGGGGGTTTCGCGTGGGAATCACCGGACGCGATCCACTGGGCTTTTCTCTGATCTGTTATCGCTGGCTCCGCAGCGCGCGGCAGGCCTGGAGTCGAGCGGAATGATCGAACGCGTTCGGCCTTCGTGACGTCACGCGGAATCGCTCTTCGCCTCGTGACGGATGTCTGGTTCTCGCGTCGCTTAGTTTGACGCTCCGCGGTGTCGCTCAGACGCGGCATGGACCTGAATCTTTACTCGGATCTGTCGGACGGAGCCGGGCAGCCCGGTGACCCGGAGTTCTTGGATCCACAAACCTTTAACGGATTTGAGAAGGTGACCGGCCCCTCACGGCACGAATATATATTCATACACTGCTGTTCAAAGATTTGTAATGTTTTAAACAAGTCTTCTGCTCATCAAGGCTGCATTTATTTGATCAGAAAAAAACAGTAAAATTGCGAAATATTGTTGCAATTAAAAACAGCTGTTTTCTATGTGAATCTCTGTTAAACTGTAATGTATGTCTGTGATGCGCAGCTGTATTTTCAGCATCATTACTGCAGTCTTCAGTGTCACGTGATCTTCAGAAATCAGTATAATATGCTGATTTATTATCAGAGCTGAAACCGTTTTGTTGCCTAATATTCTTTTTGAACCTGTGATACTTTTTCGGAATTATCTGATGAATAAAACGTTAAAAAGAACAGTATTCATTTAAAATAGAGATCTTTTGTAACAATACAAGTCTTTGTCACTTTTGATCAATTTAACAAAAAATTACTGACCACAAACTTTTGAACGGTAGTGTATATTACTAGAGAATATTTCTATTTTGAATAAATGCTGTTCTTTTAAACTTTATGCATCAAATAATCCTGAAAAAAAAAATATGAAGCAGCAAAACTGATAATAAATCAGCATATTAGAATGATTTCTGAAGAATCACGAGACACTGAAAATTCAGCTTTGATCACAGAAATAAATTAAATTTTAAAGTATATTAAAATAGAAAACATTTTAAATTAATAAATGCTGTTCTTTTAAACTTTATGCATCAAATAATCCTGAAAAAAAAAATATGAAGCAGCAAAACTGATAATAAATCAGCATATTAGAATGATTTCTGAAGAATCACGAGACACTGAAAATTCAGCTTTGATCACAGAAATAAATTAAATTTTAAAGTATATTAAAATAGAAAACTGTTATTTTAAATTGCAATAATATTTCACAATTTTACTGTTTTTTTCTGTATTTTTGGTCAAATAAATGCAGCCTTGATGAGCAGAAGAGACTTAATTTAAAACACATTACAAGTCTTAAACTTTTGAACAGCAGTGTCTATATATATATATATTAACATTACGTTTTGTCAAATTATTTGTATATATATTGGTTCAGGGAGTTGCTATGAGTAGTTGTATAGTATTTACATGGTACTTGAAAGGATATCAAAGTAAAAACATGGTTATTTTTGTTTGTAAACCACTTGAATTTGTAATAAAACATGCTTATTTTGAATTAGTTAATTCCTGTGTGCATTATTGAAGTATAAATTGGTTTAACTTCACATTAGGGAAATAATTGCGCACGTTGAACTCATGGTGTGCGTTTGTGTCGTCCTCAGTTCCCGGGAGGAAGTGACAGCTACCTGGCCATCAGCGGCGAGGGCCAGCACTTCCTGTCCTCCTCGTTCCCCGCCGAGGTGCCAAACACACGCAGCGTTGTAAACTGGGTTAGAAGTGTGATAGTCTCTTTAAAGAAAAAACTAACTCTCACATTTGGATTTTAACCGTTGAAAAAATGTGTAAAGTTTACTCGGGGAGCCGCTCTTAAAAACCCCTGTATCTCTGGAACTGAACCATACTGGGCTTTAAAAACGAAGATACGACTAGAAAAGTTTGTTAAGAACGAACATCTGAAAGGATATTAAGATATCTTTAATACTTCTGGAGTTACAGGCATGCAAACTTTGGGGGGAAAAACACAAAACATGCTTTTTCCCATTTCTGAACCCTCACCATTGATCTGTTTTCTGTGTGAATATGTGTTAAACTGTAATTTATTTCTGTGATGCGCAGCTGTATTTTCAGCATCATTACTCCAGTCTTCAGTGTCACATGATCTTCAGAAATCATTCTAATATGCTGATTTGCTGCTCAAGAAACATTTCTGATTATTATCAATGTTGAAAACAGTTGTGCTGCACAATATTTTTTGTGAAACTGTGATGCATTTTATTTCTCAGGATTCACAGATGAACAAAGTTCAAAGAGCAGCATTTATTTGAAATAGAAATCTTTCGTGACATTATAAATGTCTTTACTGGCACTCTTGATCAGTTGAATGCGTCCTCGCTGATCTAAATGTGATTGAGATGAACAGTTGTGCTGAACTGAATGGCAGTTTGAGTTGAATTGTGCTTGTTCTCCATCGTCTGGTGTCTGCAGACGTTTCACACTCCCAGTCTGGGCGATGAGGATCTGGATCTGGACCCGGACTCGGCGCTGGGCGTCTCTGGCGTGGTGTCTGATTTCGGAGAGCTGGACGACGGCGGGCCGGCTGGGGTTCCCGGGAACGCTGTGGTCGGAGGCAATGACCCATCGTTCGCCTCGACCTTCGTGAACACGCCGTCTCAGAGTCTGGAGCACCTGAGTCTGATGAGCCAGCAGAGCGGCGGACCGATGCTGGGGTCTGCACTGGGAATGGTGCGGAACAACACACACTCACTCACACACTCACTCACTCTCACACTCACACTCACTCACTCACTCTCACACTCACACACACCTCACACTCACTCACTCTCACACTCACTCACTCACTCACTCTCACACACTCACTCTCACACACACTCACTCACTCTCACACTCACTCACTCAGTCTCACACACACACTCACTCACACACTCTCACTCACACACTCACTCTCTCACACTCACACTCTCACTCACTCACTCTCACACACACTCACTCACTCTCACACTCACTCACTCAGTCTCACACACACACTCACTCACACACTCTCACTCACACCACACACACACTCACTCACACTCACTCACTCTCACACTCACTCACTCACTCACTCTCACACACACTCACTCACACACTCACTCTCTCACACACACTCAGTCACTCTCACACTCACACTCACTCACTCTCACACACACACACGCACACACTCGCACGCACACTCACTCTCACACTCACACACACACACACACACTCACTCTCACACACACTCACACACACTCACTCACTCTTACACACACACACGCACACACTCACTCTCACACTCACTCACTCACTCGCACGCACTCACACACACACACGCACACACACAAACACACTTTTTTTTATATGAATTTATCATTAGAAATAAAATAAACCATAATCTACTGAATACATCTCAACATTTAAAGGGAAAATAAATAAACACACACACACACTTTTTTGAGCCTCTATCAGGACAGTGATGATTTTAAAGGTAGTTAATTACTCTGCTGAAATGACTTTCTCAGTGTAATGGAAGTGTTTTCCTCGCTGCAGGATCTCGCTCATCCTATTGGCTCTCAGTTCAGCAGCTCTTCTCCAATGACCATCGACGTCCCGCTGAGTGACATCAACCACGGCCTGCTGGGCCACACCCAGCTGACCACCATCGACCAATCAGAGCTCAGCGCGCAGCTGGGCCTCAGTCTGGGCGGCGGCACCATCCTTCCCCGCCCACAGTCACCTGACCAGCCGCTGTCCACTGATTCGCTGTCTGATTCGCTGCACGACGACGACATGGACGACTTCAGACGGGTGCGTTTTGTGTTTGCCACTATTTATTTCTTTTTTTAAATTATTATTATTATTATTTGGTTTCTGTCTGTTGTAAAATGTCTTGAACAAGTGCAATGTTCTCAAAAATTTTCTTAAGTACATATAGTTTTTTCCGTAAGAGGAAAATGTAAGATTTAAGACGCATTGGCGGTTCACCACATTTGAGTGATCATTGCAAAAAATGCTATATACTGTATTCTATATATAGTACCAGTCAAAAGTTTGGACACACGAATGGGAAAGTGTCCAAAATTTTGACTGGTACTGTACTATAATATATACACAAAGAATATCATCCGATATATCGATATCGGTCTTTTTTTACTCCCTAATATCAGTATCGGTCCCCAAAAAACCCATATCGGTCAGGCTCTAGTATATACGCTTTGATCATCAAGTAAACAGTGTTGTGAAAGCATCTTTTTTTCAGTGGAGGAAGTTATCTAAATTGAAACCTATCCTTTCAACCAAGGATCTGGAAACTGTTATACATGCTTTCATTTCCACAAGACTGGATTATTGCAATGCTTTATATTTAGGTCTACTCGTCTTCAGTTTGTTCAAAATGCTGCAGTGAGACTTAACTAATACCAGAAAATGGGATCATATAACACCTGTATTCTGAGTGATTTCATTGTTAAGCTGCTGTCTGTGGGTCTGAACTGATCTCTGTTCTTCTCTCCCGCGTGTGGTGTCTCTGTCTGGCTCAGAAGAGCGTTCTGGTGGACTCTCCGGTGTCTCTGTGTGTGTCGTCTGGCGTCATCTCCCTCTCGCCGTCTCTGTTGGAGCAGCAGGCCGTCCCAGCATCCTCTGCTGCTCCCGTACGGAAGGCAGTCGGCGGGAAAAAGGGCAAGAAGAAGAAAGACCCGAACGAGCCGCAGAAACCCGTGTCGGCTTACGCACTCTTCTTCAGGGACACGCAAGCCGCCATCAAGGGCCAGAACCCCAGCGCCACCTTCGGAGAGGTGTCCAAGATCGTGGCCTCCATGTGGGACAGTCTGGGAGAGGAGCAGAAACAGGTGCAGGAACGCCACTAGAGACACAATCACTGAGACAGGTTTACTTGGATTAATACCAACAATTCATGTTATTAACCCTTGTGCGCCAATTAAAAAAAAGTTACACAGGTCCATTGTAGACAAAAATGTCCATGTCAAAAAAAACTGTCATAAAAATGTGAAGCTTTGGGAGCACTGAGTTAAGTTTGGTCTCATTTTACAAGACCCATGGCAGATTATTGTAAAAAAAATTAAAAATTAAAAACTAAAAAAAAGTTATAGAGGTTTAAGTTTATGAAAATGATTTATGAACGATATTTTATATAAAATATATATTTTATGAAACACGTTGAACTCTATACCTGTTAGAAAATCAAAGCCACAAATCTAAACAAGTTGTGTTCCAAATTTGAAGTTGATATCTCAAAAAATTAGCTTTCAGTAAGATTTTGTTTGGGCGCAGTACCAAATTTTCCCCATTAGATGCCAGCAAAATTTCTCTTTTTCTCTCTCAAATATTAGTAAAAAATTACATTTTAAAGCCTTGCCAATAGAATGAAAGCCTATTAACAAAAAATTCATAATTTTACAGTTAAATGGCACTGCGATTAATAATAGCAGTTTTAATGGGTCTCAATGGGGACATTTTTGTCCTTAAGGTCCTGAGAGGAACATTTTTTTTGTACCTAGTGCAAAACAGATCTATTAAAGGAAATTGAAGTGAAATAGTAAAATTCCAATAAAAATACACACCTGTGCCAAAATTTATGCAGTTGGCAATAAAACAGGCAAAATGATCACAAAAAACAAAACTGAAAAAGACAAAAATGTCCAAAAGGTTGCACAGGGGTTAAACACAGTTCTTTATTTTCAGTCGTTAAATATTTATTATATAAATGTGTGTAATTAAAATATACTAAATTAATTTAGATATAATATAAAATATTGTAAATTAAATAAAAATAATGATTTGTAAAAAAATTTTTTAAAAAAGTTTGTAGTAATTGAGTGAAACAAAACAATAATAATGCAAATATTTTTGATGAATTATTCCCTTATTTATTCCCTCATGTGTCAAAAAACATTATTGTCATTTAGACATGTTTGACTTTTTAATTTAATTCCGTTCTTAAATAATTTGAGTTATAAATTCTGCATTTTGTTGGCAACTTCAATTAAAAATGGCAGGGTTTTAAATCGATTCTGAAAGATGCAGCACAAGCCTCATATTTGTACATCCCTAACAGTCAAAAATTATTATGAAGTTATATTATAAAATATATTTTCTTGTTCCTGTTCTTTTCTCCCAATTTGTTATCTTAAAGCAATTGAAGATGAGAAATTGTGTGTTTTTAAGTGAGAAGCAAAAGAACGAATAAAAACAATGAGTAAATGGCATGAAATATCAGCGCTTTGAATGTCAGAAAAGCTCTTTATAAAGAAAATGTATTGTTATCTTAGCCTAAGTATTCAAGTAAATGTTAAAAATAATCATTAAATATGAAATAAAACTACTTAAGCAATTGGCATAAAATTAATTGAATTAGTATTTGATATGATTCAATCTTTAATTGATTTTTATCAAATATTAAAATGAAAACTTATTTTTGTTGTCATTTGTTGTTTTTCATTACTGCTATTACTATTTATTTCTTTTAAAATACATTGATCTTGCTATGAAAACGCTCGTATGGCAATAAAAATAAATGATTAGATATGATGCATTAATACTGACTCGAAAACCTTTCGTTAAATTAACTGAACGGTATCTTTTCTTTCTTTTATTCTTTTAAACGCAAAATAAATATATAATGTAAAAACTGAAAGCTATCAAAATAAACACTTTCCAAAAATAAATCACAAAAATGTAAAATTAAAATAAATATATAATTATAATAAATATATTATTGGAAAAAAATAAATCAAATAATAATGTCAAGTTTAAATAATTGTAAAATAAAAGCAAACAAAATAAAATACTTTCTTTTATGCTTCTTAACATTATTGGATTTGTCTTATTACGTTTATTTGAGACATTAAATTTTGACTAAGAATTGCATTTGACTGATCGAAACGTTCGTGTTTTTCCTTCTCAGGTCTACAAGAGGAAGACAGAAGCTGCCAAGAAGGAGTATCTGAAGGCCCTGACAGCTTACAAAGCCAATCAGCTGTCACAGGTGACCTTCAGACAGACTGTAGCGCTCCATTATATTGCTTAATATGTAGGAATTATTTACAAGGGCTGTTTACAATCCTGAATATCGGCCGATATTTCTGCCTTGTCTTGTTTGAAGACTTTTATTTTGACAGCGCTGAGAAGGCCAGCTCTGCTGTATCCAGTTTGATGCTGTGTCTTATTCCTGTCATATTCACTCTGTATTTCATGTGAATTTATCGCTACCTTGTCTTTACAATCCCGAATATCGGCCGATATTTCTGCCTTTTCTTGTTTGGCCATTGCGTCTGAAGACTTTTATTTTGACAGCGCTGAGATATCCAGTTTGATGCTGTCTTATTCCTGTCATGTTCACTCTGTACTTCATGTAAATTAATCGCTACTCTGTCTTTATTCAGGAAATATGACTAACAGAAACCTTGTTAATGTCATGTTTTTCTGCAGCAGCCGACTATTGAAGTGTTAGACGCTCCTGCGTCTCCTGCCGCCGCCGTGGCCCCGCCTCCCGAACCCGCATTGACCGTCACCCCGCCGCGCTCGTCCCGCATCCCGCTGCACGCGCCCGACAACAACACCATCACCAACATCTGCACCTCCAACATCATCCTGGACCTGCCGCAGGTGACGACGCGCTCGCGCACAGGTGCGCACAAACCCCCGGCCCCGCCCCCCGTCAACAAGATCCTCATCTCCAAGCAGCAGCTGCAGGCGCCGCGGCAACCTCCGCCACTGCAGCAGATGCAGAACACGCCTCCACCCCCGCGCCTGCAGCAGATGGTACATTCCCCGGCTCCGCCCCCTCTGCAGGCCAAACCGCGACAGGTGGTTGCCATGGCGCCGCCGCCGCCCCTGCAGATCAAGATCGTCCCGGCGCCCTCGCAGACCGACATGAGCGCGCCGATCATCGTGACGACCGCGGCCTCGTCTGTGGTGGAGGCGCCGCCGCCCGCTGCCATAGTAACAGACCTGTCGCCGTCGGCAACCGAGGAGGTGGCTGAAGAAGGGGTGAGTCCGAACTCTGTGTGTGAAAATACTGTTCTGAACAAAAATTTTTATTTTTATTTCCTGTTGTTTTGTTGATGCAAACTAATAACAAATTAAATAATAAAAATGTGATATTAAAATATATAATTTAAATATAAAACTATCAAAATAAACTTTCTAAATATAATTACATCTTAAAAAATATAAAATATATGATTTAAAAATGGAAAAATAGCAAAAACACTTTTTAAAATAATTAAATAATAAAAATCTAAAACATACGCTTTTAATTTTGGAAAAAATATTGAAAAACTCTTTCTAAAAATAATTCAATCATAATATAAAATATAATTTAAATATGGGATAATATCAAAGTATTCACTTTCTAAAAATAAATCACAAAATTTTAAAATAAATCTTTAATATATAATGTAAAAAGAAAAATTAAGAAAATAAACACTTTAATAGTAAATCACAAAAAATGTAAAATTAAAATATAACTTTAAAAATTAATTTTAAAACACTTTTTAAATGTAATTGAATAAAAATGTACAGTTAAAAAGAAATATATAGTTAAAAAATAACAATCAAAATAGACACTTTCTTAAAATAATTAAATTGTACAAATGTAAAATTTAAGTAATTTTGTAAATGAAAATGATCAAAATAAACACTTTATAAAAATAATTAAATCAGTGTAAAATTAAAAAAATAATAATTGTAAAAGATAAAAACAATCAAAATAAAACACTTCAAGAAATGAAATTCTAAACATTTAAAGTACATACTTCGAAAAAGGATAAAATAAAACTATTTTAAGTTTTGGAAAATTAAATAAATTATAATTAATCAGTAATTTAAAAGCAATCAAATTGTAATTTTAAAATCATTTTAAAATAAAAATAATAAAAGTGAAACCTTTACTAAAAAGGATGAGGTTTTATTTTACAAAAATAGAGACTTTTATGAAATGGCATTAAACTCCTGAGACTGCGAGAGTGGTTTTGCACAGACCGTTTCAGTGTGGGTGTGTGTGTGTGTGTGTGTGTGTGTGTGTGTGTGTCCTCAGATGGAGGTGGAAGTGAACGTGTCTCCGGCTCCAGACGCTCCCAGTGTGTGTGTCCGCGCCGGCTGCAACAACCCACCCATAGAGAGCAAAGACTGGGACCGAGAGTACTGCAGCAACGAGTGTGTGGCCACTCACTGCAGGTATTCACACACACACACACACACATACACTCACTCACTCCCTCACTCACACACACACACACACATATATATTTTGAACAATTGAAGAACCATTGATGTTTTGAAAAGGAATAGTCACACAAAAGCAGATTTATTTCCTACAGTGTTGCTGACTCATCTTTTCCATACAGTGAATGGTCACTCACTCTCTCACACTCACTCACACACTCACTCACTCACTCACTCACTCACACACCGACAGACAGACAGACAGAGACAGACACACACACACACACACACACTCACCGACAGACACACACACAGACACTCACAGACACACACACACTCACAGACAGACACATACACACACACACACACACACAGGCACACACACACACTGGGTCTCTTGCCTGTAACAAAGATATCTTGACATCCTTTTAGATGTTGGTTCTTAACAAACATGTCTTTGAGTATCTTCGTTTTTAAGGCACAATATGGTTCAGTTCCAGAGATATTGGGATCTCCGTGTGGCTCCATGAGTAAACACATTGTCAGTGGTCAATAACCCAGTGTATGCAGACTTGAATTGGCACTTGTGTTCATTTGTTACTGATGTTTGTATCTGATGTCTGCAGGGACGTGTTCATGGCCTGGTGTGCCATCAGAGGACAAAACTCAACCAGCGTCACATAGAACCGCACGAACACAAACGAGACGGACAGACGTGTGTGTGTGTGTGTGTGTGTGTGTGTGTGTGTGTGTAGCGTGGAGCTTTGGCTGAATAAGAACAGCAGAAAAACCCATCGAAAGCTCGACGTGAAACCGTTACATGCATCTTCACATGTACAGACTGATTCGGAGAAAAGCAGCGGAAATCTTGGGATTTCTTAAATAGTAATAAAAAAAGGTGTTCAGGATGAAAAAGTGAGTATTTAAACAGATTCCCATAATGTAACTGTGTATGACTGTGGTATTTGGTGTCAAAGTGCAGGATGGCGGCCATTTTTACCAGGTGTGTTTGTTCTCGTGTGTCAAAACACCGTCCAGAAACACGTTTTACGCAAGTATGCAAACATATACTTGTTTGTGTGCCTGCATAGAGGGTGTTTCTGCCGTTGAGCACGAGTGTGTGTGTGTGTGTGTGCGATTGAGCACTAAACCGATTCTTAAGCTAATAACAGACTGTTTTAAAACCATGACGTCACTTTTGTGAATGTTCCCGATTTCGGCGCTCGCTTGATTTCATTTTGAACAAGGGCAAAAATTACCATGGTAACTTCAGTTCCTGCCCAAAATTCCGTTGTTACTATGGTTACTGTTACAATAGAACTGTGGTAACTAACCACCGTAAAATCAAAACGGCACTGTTTGAGGCGCCGTGTTTATTGTGATTTTATTATACTAACAACAATTATAGACTCTATTTACACGAATGCATTTGGCAGACGCTTTTATCCAAAGTGACTCGAGCTGTACGTTTAATTGGTTCATGCGTTGCCTGGGAATCGAACCCGTGAGCTTTAACGCCGTAATTGAGAAACTGTGGTTACTATGGTACATTTTTGCAAAGGAGTGTTTTAATATCTTTTACATTTTCTGAACTTACTGTGACGCACGCTGTGGATTAAAAACGAATAGATTTTATATTGGGGGAAATGTACAGAAACCAACATTATACATGTAACTGCTTTAATGAAAATGTGATGGATTTTTTTTTCTTTTTTGATTTTTCTTTTATTCCTTTGACTTTTTGGACTGTATCATCATCATCTCAGTTCTCTTACTGTATTGAGTATGTGAGTTGAATAAACAATCAAATGGAAAAAATAAATAAATAAATAAAACCGTAATGTGTTTCTTTGGTCATTACGCTTGCTTTATATATTATTAGGATGATTCTTCAATTATAACCTCTTGGTCCCCTACAATGACTAAAGGGACGCTATATAAAATATATAAACACTTATATATATATATATATATGTCCAATGTAATTGAAGAAATAGACATTTAGAGATAGAAATGTGAAGAAATAGACTGACATATTTACTCCAATTAATAATGCTCCGTCGTCTCTGAAAGACCGTTATAACCGTTAACTTGGCGGGGAAGCTCAATTCACCAAACGTATGTTTAAAACAACATAAATGTAACATATACACACATTATAACTTTTTAATTCACATGAAGTGGCCTTATCACATTTTAACCTTTCTAATCGCGATCACTTCAGCGCTCAACTGTCTTTATAAAGTACAAAACCAACTATTATACACGTATAACCCATCAGAGTTCTGATAAACAATGTGTATAAACAAAATGAGGGTGAATTTGATGGTTTTTATCAAGTACCTGAAGAGTAGAGGAGTACCGAGAGAAGGATGAGCGCGAGGCGGGAATCCTCAACGGCCGTTCGTGTCTCGTGAGGGACGCGCATGCGCATCGCGAACATTCTCTCTTCTAGTGAGCGCGAAAATACGTTATTACACTAATTACACTAACTAATTACACACATATAAAATAATCTTTCCTTAAGTAAATTCAAACAACTGATTAATAATACTTATAAGATAACATGAAATTAATAGCCTTTTCTTTTTGCAACAAAGTGACTTTTTCAAAGAATAGAAATATAAAATAGCAAAATATTTGGTAAAAATAAAATGGTCAAAGAATCAAATTTTTTGCAGTATATATATGACATTATAATAGTTGTATAACTTTGATGCTTGTTTTTGCTTATGAAACGTTTTAAACTTTAATAAGACATTTTAATCCTCAAATTTTTGGGAATTAGTTGGATGTTTTTGGTGAGTTCTGTCCTTCATATGTTGGATAAAAAGTAAACAATAAAAGAGGAGTATTTTTGTAGCAGATAATTTTCACTAGGTGTCATTACTAACTGTTCAGCATTTGAGATTAATACAATGTTTTATTATTATTTATTTTAAATCTCTTCTTTTTAATTATTCATTTACATTAGTATATTATTAGTATAATTACTATTACTGATATATTAAAATAAACTAAATTAAAATGCTTCAAGATGTTTTTAATAAGAAAAACACACATTTCTTGACACTTTTGGAATCACAAATTATGGCTAATACATTTTCCTACATCCAGTTTCTGTTAATTAAAACGTACATTATGGGCCTTGGAGTCTAAAAGAATAAGAAGTGCTGCTTTAAGACATGGTCGAAAGTAAAATAGGTGTCACAGTGCAGTTTATTATTACTCAAACACATCATTTAGCTCTAAAATGTTTGTTAAATTATCTTTTTAAACACCATTTAATAAATCTGACAACGCGCGGTTAACCATAGACTGCAAACCACGTGCTCCGCCGGAATTCGCGCGCTTTCGAATTCGAACTGCCCCAGATGGCGGGAAAGAGCCGTGCGCGCGGACGGCCAGAAGCGTCAGGGGCAGGTTTTTAAGCGCGAGCGGCGCGCAGCACGTGACCGTCAGGGCGGGATTTCACTGGGCCCCGCGCTGGATGACGTGAGCCTCAGGGCGGGAAACGCAGGAAAACAAAAGCCGTAATAAACGCCGCCGTTCCGTCCAATAGCCAATTTATAGTTAGCAGATTAACATCACTGACTGCATCTTTTTTCAAACATATCGTGTTTCACGCACGTCTTTCGTTCAAAATAATAATAAACATATATCTTCTAAACAGACACAAAATGGCAGAAAAATAAATAAATAAATCTGACAAAGAAATGAAAACAATTAATTTAAATGAGTAAAAATAAATTAATAAAAAACAATCACGTCACTTTTTCTAAATATATTAAAATAAATAAATGTTAAATATTGGTTTGAGCAGTAAATGTGTGCATTTACCTTTATATATGTTCAATAAAAATTTAAAATTATTTTTTTTTTTTAAATAGATGCAGAAAGAGGGCGGAGCTAAAGATCAGTCGCGCACATGCGTGTTTTAAAGTGATTTATTCACATCATCAGCGCAACTGAGACCCGTTCAAAACTCAACCGACACATTTTAAAGAAGAAGTACTGTCTTTTTAAATAGACATCTTTGAGATCGCATTTATTTTTCGCGTTTTCGATCTTTTTGCGTGTTGTTATCGCGTCGTCCAGTGCAGACCCAGTGAGTGTGTGTGTGTTTGTCCGCTCTGCGCTGCTGTACTTCAGCGTGTGTGTGTTGATGTGATATTATGGCGGTGAATCTGGATAAAGACGCGTTTTACCGCCGCATCAAGCGACTCTACGGGAACTGGAAGGTACGGGAAGCTCCCAGCCGCTGCCAAACCATCTCACGGATCATATTCACACACACTTATTGCCGTATGATGTGTTTCTGCGCCTGTGTGCTGCTGAAAATCTTCTCTCTCACACACATTCTCAGGCCTAGTTTCCGTGTGACGGTTATATAAACCCGCGCGGGCCGCCGCGTTCGTCTCCGTCGCTCTGTCCGGTGATTCGTTTCTCTCTGTAACGGAATCGCGGAGGTTTTCGCGTCGTTTTCGTGCGGTTAGCTCATCGGCTAACGCGTTAGCCTTAACGCTTTCGCGACATTTCCGCTCGGCTGTAGTGCGCGTTGGAAACGCAGCCGTCAAATAAATCCGCGGTCTTTGCGTTCCCTTCGCGTTTTAGTAAATGTTTTTCAGGTAAACGCTTTATTCGGGTGCAGAAGTTCAGTCTGATGTAGCATTAGCTGTGAGCTAGCTCATATTGAGACATGCTGCGAGTAGGGAAGAAAATACTGCTATTATTTTTAATAGTAAACAAACACTAAAAGGCCTGAGAACTTTTCTTTCCCACCAGCACTGCTTCATTGTTCAAGTAATATTTTGAGATTTAGAAGTTTTGTAGATATTTATATTTATACATTGTTTTTCTGTAATCTATATGTTTTGTAGAATTTAAATTATATTATAATCTTGTAATATAATTATTTAAATGTTTTAATTGTAGTAATTATGTATTTTTGGATACTATATATATTTTTTATAGTATATTATAAATATTTTTATATATCATACTATTATATTACATTAATATAATAATTAGATATTACTTCCTTATTACCATGTGTTATAAGTGATTATTTTAGTTTGTAAATTATTATAATATAAAATTATACAATTATATTATGTATAAAAAAGATTATAATGATTTAATATACTGTATATAATCCATATTGTTTTGTATTATATAATTTTATTATTATTTGATATACAATTATCTGATATTATAATAGTTTTCATTATGTAGGAAATATAGCTTGTATAGCCGACATTTATTGTATGGTAGTGAATCTAACTGTTCAGTGCTTTAGAAAAGTGTTTGAATGGGTAAGCGTGATATGACGAGCTTCTCATAACTATAATCCTGCACCATAACCCTGTTTTTCCATCACAGAAAGGAGAAGATGAGTTCGGGAAGGTGGACGCCATCGTGGTTTCTGTCGGAGTCGACGAGGAGATCGTCTACGCCAAATCTACAGCCCTTCAGGTGCAACAAAACACTGCTTATGAAATATTAACAGCATCCGAGCGGTCATCGCATGTTCATTTATGTTGTCCTCTGTCCGCAGACGTGGCTATTTGGGTACGAGCTCACCGACACCATCATGGTGTTTTGCGAGACCAGGATCATTTTTCTGGCCAGTAAGAAGAAGGTGGAGTTCCTGAAGCAGGTCGCCATCACGAAAGGCAACGAGAACGCAAACGGGATTCCTCCGATCACGCTGCTCGTCCGAGAAAAGGTATCGCACGCTTCACACCGTACCGTGATCTGAAAACCGTGATTAAAGTGTTCCGTCAGTTCATAAAGAGAGTCATGTGCTTCATTCCTGAATGATTCAGCCGTTCGAACGAATCAATTGAATGAATGATTCAGCTGTTCGAACGAATCAATTGAATGAATGATTCAGTGATAAAATCAGTGACTTGCCGCCACCTGCTGGTGGATTTAGTTTCATTTTTAGCGTATAATTTGTTATTTGAATCATTTAATTTTTCTGTATTAAAAATTTTATATTTAAAACATTAATCTCCACCTGAATGTATGAATTTAATTGCACTCATGCCACCTGTGAGCCTCATTAAACTTCTGGAAATGTACCTACAAGCCACTTTTGTGTTCTTCTTTGTAGTACAAATTAATTTATTAATGCTAATTTAATATGATTGGTAACTTGTCTTATTCTACATATTGTTTTAAATAGAAATTTTAAAAAGATTATAAACACAAATTTTTGAATTTGACAGATGATGCCATTACAAAGGTAAAAAGAATGTCAGCTCGTATTAGGAAGGCAAATTTTTGATCAGAATTTTTGATTATTGATCAGAAGGTGCTCCTACATTTTTAACTTAGGAGGACAAGCGCTCCTTACTAGAATTATACGCAAAAAATGAAACCGAATCCGCCAGCAGGTGGCGGCAAGTCACTGATTTTATCACTGAATCATTCATTCAATTGATTCGTTCGAATGGCTGAATCATTCATTCAATTGATTCGTTCGAACGGCTGAATCATTCATTCAATTGATTTGTTCGAACGGCTGAAACATTCAGGAATGAAGCACGTGACGTCTTTATGACCTGACGGAACACTTGAATCCCTGTGAAACGCTTTAAAGCAGCGACGCGTTTAAAATCTGATTGTGTGACAGAACGAGAGCAACAAGGTGAACTTCGAGAAGATGGTGGAAGCCATCCGCGGAAGTAGAGAAGGCAAGACGGTCGGCGTGTTCATGAAGGACAAGTTCCCGGGAGAATACATGAAGAGCTGGAGCGACATGATCACGGCCGAGGGCCTGAAGAGGGTCCGCTTGACTGGCTTTCACACGCAAACCTTACTACACCGATGACATTGCGATGAAATAAGCTGAACGAATGCGTTTCTGGTGGTCTGTCAGGTGGACGTCAGCACGGCGGTGGCGTACACGATGGCGGTGAAGGAGGACGGAGAGCTGGCGCTCATGAAGAAGGCGGCTGCCGTCACCAGCGATGTCTTCACCAAGTTCTTCAAGGAGCGAGTGATGGAGATCGTGGACGCCGACGAGGTTCGTTCACGCGCGGCTCGCTTTATCCTTCATGTAGCGCAAACTTTTCCGCTCGCAGAGCCATAAAGGGCAGGGGAAAAGTTAGGGTTTTGTCTTTGAAGAGCCGGAGAAGTTTGGAATCTTTAAGGTTTTGAATGTTTCGGCTTCTGGCTGCATTTATTTGATCTAAAATGCAGTAAAAAACAGTGAAATATTAGAATTTAAAATAACCTTTTTCTATGTGAATCTCTGTTAAACTGTAATTTATTTCTGTGATGCGCAGCTGTATTTTCAGCATCATTACTCCAGTCTTCAGTGTCACATGATCTTCAGAAATCATTCTAATATGCTGATTTGCTGCTCAAGAAACATTTCTGATTATTATCAATGTTGAAAACATTAATATTTTTGTGGAAACTGTCATACATTTTATTTTTCAGGATTCACAGATGAATATAAAGCTCAAAAGAACAGCATTTATTTGAGAGAGAAATCTGCTGTAACATTAGAAATGTCTTTACTGTCACTTTTGATCAGTTTAATCAGTGACTGATAAATAAAAACATAGATTTCTTTATTAAATCATCTAAAAATATGGGATAACTCAAGTCTTAATTATAATTTTAAAAGTCTTAAATGTGTGATTAAACTTCAAAAGGCGATAATTTAATGTAAATATTTTAGTATCATTGAGATACTGTTGTAGTTTTTAATATTTTGACATTTTTGTCTTATTAATTTTAATTTAAGATTTAGTAATTTTGTTGTGTTTGTCACTTTATTTATTGTTTTAACCATTTTTTTTATTATTTTTAACTCAGTTTTTGGTTATTTTAGTACATTGTTTTAGTTTAAGTTTAACATTTTTAAAGTTTTTTTTCAAGTAACAAGCGTTTTTATGAATTTTTGTTTTAATGCTAGCAACACTGGTAAGCGTTTCATGTTCAGTGTGAAGTAAAAAGCTCGTGGTTTCAGAGCAGTGCGCGATATCAGTCAGTCTTTCATTCATAAATTTTAATATATTGCTACATAAACCAATTACAAATGTATATATTGAATAAAACATGTCTTAAGTGTTTCCCTGTTTTGCAGTTGAATGTGACACAAGTAAAATAATCTGAAATGCACGCTTGAATTCATGTTGGTTTTATTTAGCATTGCAGTGGAGAGCCAGAGTTGTTCTGTGGCTAATGTTTTCCGGTCCGTATGCTAACCTCTGTCCGTCTGTGGTGATGTTCCTCAGAAAGTCAAGCACAGTCGTCTGGCCGAGTCGGTGGAGAAGGCCATCGAGGACCGGAAGTTTCTGGGCGGCGTGGACCCGTCGACCGTGGAGATGTGCTACCCTCCCATCATTCAGAGCGGCGGCAGCTACAGCCTGAAGTTCAGCGTGGTCAGGTGAGCGCCGCAGAGACGCACCGCATCGAGCATCTGAAGGAGATGCTTAGACGCTAAACGTGTGACGTTTCTCTCCCAGCGATAAGAACCACATGCACTTCGGCGCTATAACCTGCGCCATGGGCATCCGCTACAAGTCCTACTGCTCCAACCTGGTGCGCACGCTCATGGTGGACCCGCCGCAGGAAATGCAGGACAATTACAACTTCCTGCTGCAGGTGGAGGAGGAGCTTCTGAAGGAGATGAAGCACGGTGAGCAGACGCAGCAGTCTGTGTGTGAGTGTCTGTGTGTTTCTGTCTGTCTGTCTGTTTGTTTGTGTTTGTTTGTTTGTCTGTCTGTGTGTGTGTGTCTGTCTGTCTGTTTGTGTTTGTTTGTCTGTGTCTGTCTGTCTGTTTGTGTGTCTGTTTGTGTTTGTTTGTGTGTCTGTTTGTGTTTGTTTGTCTGTCTGTCTGTGTCTGTCTGTCTGTTTGTGTTTGTTTGTGTGTCTGTTTGTGTTTGTTTGTCTGTCTGTGTGTGTCTGTCTGTCTGTTTGTGTTTGTTTGTCTGTGTGTGTGTCTGTTTGTGTTTGTTTGTGTGTGTCTGTCTGTCTGTTTGTGTTTGTTTGTCTGTGTGTGTCTGTCTGTCTGTTTGTGTTTGTTTGTGTGTGTGTGTGTGTGTCTGTTTGTCTGTCTGTCTGTTTGTTTGTTTGTGTGTCTGTCTGTTTGTGTTTGTTTGTCTGTGTGTGTGTGTGTCTGTCTGTCTGTGAGTGTGTTGAGGATCAGTGTTTTATCATCTGTGTGTGTCTGTCTGTCTGTTTGTTTGTGTGTGTGTGTGAGAGAGAGTGTCTGTCTCTGAGTGTGTGTGTGTCTCGCGAGTGTGTGTGTCTGTCTGTCTGTCTGAGTCTCTGTCTGTGTGTGTGTGAGAGAGAGTGTCTGTCTCTGAGTGTGTGTGTGTTGAAGATCAGTGTTTTATCATCAGTGTCTGTCTGCGAGTGTGTGTGTGTTGAAGATCAGTGTTTTATCATCAGTGTCTGTCTGCGAGTGTGTGTGTGTTGAAGATCAGTGTTTTATCATCAGTGTCTGTCTGCGAGTGTGTGTGTGTTGAAGATCAGTGTTTTATCATCAGTGTCTGTCTGCGAGTGTGTGTGTGTTGAAGATCAGTGTTTTATCATCAGTGTCTGTCTGCGAGTGTGTGTGTGTTGAAGATCAGTGTTTTATCATCAGTGTCTGTCTGCGAGTGTGTGTGTGTTGAAGATCAGTGTTTTATCATCAGTGTCTGTCTGCGAGTGTGTGTGTGTTGAAGATCAGTGTTTTATCATCAGTGTCTGTCTGCGAGTGTGTGTGTGTTGAAGATCAGTGTTTTATCATCAGTGTCTGTCTGCGAGTGTGTGTGTGTTGAAGATCAGTGTTTTATCATCAGTGTCTGTCTGCGAGTGTGTGTGTGTTGAAGATCAGTGTTTTATCATCAGTGTCTGTCTGCGAGTGTGTGTGTGTTGAAGATCAGTGTTTTATCATCAGTGTCTGTCTGCGAGTGTGTGTGTGTTGAAGATCAGTGTTTTATCATCAGTGTCTGTCTGCGAGTGTGTGTGTGTTGAAGATCAGTGTTTTATCATCAGTGTCTGTCTGCGAGTGTGTGTGTGTTGAAGATCAGTGTTTTATCATCAGTGTCTGTCTGCGAGTGTGTGTGTGTTGAAGATCAGTGTTTTATCATCAGTGTCTGTCTGCGAGTGTGTGTGTGTTGAAGATCAGTGTTTTATCATCAGTGTCTGTCTGCGAGTGTGTGTGTGTTGAAGATCAGTGTTTTATCATCAGTGTCTGTCTGCGAGTGTGTGTGTGTTGAAGATCAGTGTTTTATCATCAGTGTCTGTCTGCGAGTGTGTGTGTGTTGAAGATCAGTGTTTTATCATCAGTGTCTGTCTGCGAGTGTGTGTGTGTTGAAGATCAGTGTTTTATCATCAGTGTCTGTCTGCGAGTGTGTGTGTGTTGAAGATCAGTGTTTTATCATCAGTGTCTGTCTGCGAGTGTGTGTGTGTTGAAGATCAGTGTTTTATCATCAGTGTCTGTCTGCGAGTGTGTGTGTGTTGAAGATCAGTGTTTTATCATCAGTGTCTGTCTGCGAGTGTGTGTGTGTTGAAGATCAGTGTTTTATCATCAGTGTCTGTCTGCGAGTGTGTGTGTGTTGAAGATCAGTGTTTTATCATCAGTGTCTGTCTGCGAGTGTGTGTGTGTTGAAGATCAGTGTTTTATCATCAGTGTCTGTCTGCGAGTGTGTGTGTGTTGAAGATCAGTGTTTTATCATCAGTGTCTGTCTGCGAGTGTGTGTGTGTTGAAGATCAGTGTTTTATCATCAGTGTCTGTCTGCGAGTGTGTGTGTGTTGAAGATCAGTGTTTTATCATCAGTGTCTGTCTGCGAGTGTGTGTGTGTTGAAGATCAGTGTTTTATCATCAGTGTCTGTCTGCGAGTGTGTGTGTGTTGAAGATCAGTGTTTTATCATCAGTGTCTGTCTGCGAGTGTGTGTGTGTTGAAGATCAGTGTTTTATCATCAGTGTCTGTCTGCGAGTGTGTGTGTGTTGAAGATCAGTGTTTTATCATCAGTGTCTGTCTGCGAGTGTGTGTGTGTTGAAGATCAGTGTTTTATCATCAGTGTCTGTCTGCGAGTGTGTGTGTGTTGAAGATCAGTGTTTTATCATCAGTGTCTGTCTGCGAGTGTGTGTGTGTTGAAGATCAGTGTTTTATCATCAGTGTCTGTCTGCGAGTGTGTGTGTGTTGAAGATCAGTGTTTTATCATCAGTGTCTGTCTGCGAGTGTGTGTGTGTTGAAGATCAGTGTTTTATCATCAGTGTCTGTCTGCGAGTGTGTGTGTGTTGAAGATCAGTGTTTTATCATCAGTGTCTGTCTGCGAGTGTGTGTGTGTTGAAGATCAGTGTTTTATCATCAGTGTCTGTCTGCGAGTGTGTGTGGGTTGAGGATCAGTGTTTTATCAACAGTGTCTGTCTGCGAGTGTGTGTGTGTGTGTGTGTGTGTGAGGATCAGTGTTTTATCATCCGTGTCTGTCTGTCTGTGTGTGTGTGTGTGTTGAGGATCAGTGTTTTATCATCAGTGTCTGTCTGTG